ACACCTGGGGACACACCTGGGTACACCTGAGGGCACTTGGACACACCTGGGCACACCTGGATACACCTGGGGACACCTGGATACACCTGGGCACACCTGGGGACACACCTGGGGGGACCTGGGGACACCTGGGGACACCTGGGCACACCTGGGGACACCTGGGATACACCTGAGGGCACCTGGACATACCTGGGGACACCTGAAACACACCTGGGGACACCTGGAACACACCTGAACACACCTGGGGACACCTGGGGACACCTGGGGACATCTGGGGACAGCAAGGCACACCTGGAACCCAGTCTAGGACCAGCTCTAGAACCTGATCTAGAACGTTCTAGAACCCCCTCTAGAACCGAGTCCAGAACGTTCTAGAACACAGTTTAGAACCCGATCTAGAACACGTCTAGAATGTGCCTGGAACGCGCCTGGGGACACCTGGGCACACCTGGGGACACCCAGAACACACCTGGGCACACCTGGGGACACCTGGAACACACCTGGGACACACCTGGGGGGGTGGGTGCCCCTGAAATCCCTCAAAATTCTCTTAAAAAACCCCCAAAAATCCCCCAAAATCCCAATTTTTTCCCAAAAATCCCAATTTTTTCCCAAAAATCCCAATTTTCCCCCCAAAACTCCCGCAGGAAACGTGGCCTGGATGCACGTCCTCGCCGCCCGCGCCGCCCGCTCCCGCCCGGCCTCGGTGGCGGGCGAGGTTTTCTTCTGCTACGACTCCTCCCCCGCCATCCCCTACGAGGATTTCAACGTCCGGCTGCTCCGGCCCGCCGGAATCCGGGAATTCCCCATCCCGGAATTCCTGCCGGGAATCCTGGCCCGCCTCAACGGGCTCCTCAGAGGCCTTTTGGGGGCGTTGGGGGTGGGGTTTGCGCCGCTGTTGAACCCCTACACGTGGGCGGTGGCGCGGACGGCGTTCACCGTTCGTACGGACAAGGCCGAGAAAAGATTCGGCTTCCGGCCGCTTTTTTCCTGGGAGGAGGCGAGGGAGAGGACGGTGGAGTGGGTGAAAGGGTTGGAGGGGGCGTGAAATGGGGAAAATTTGGGGGGAAAAGGGTGAAAAAACGGCGAAAAACGGTGAAGAAATGACAAAAATATGGCGGGAAACGGGAACAAAATGGCGGAAAACAAAATGGCGGCTCATGGAAACAAAATGGTGGAAAATGAAACGAAATGGGGGATGAGAGGGTTAAAAATTGGGAGAAATGGGGAAAATTTGGGGGAAAAGGGTGAAAAAAGGGCGAAAAACGGTGAAAAAATGGAAATAAAATGGCGGAAAACAAAATGGCGGCTCATGGGAACAAAATGGCGGCTCATGGGAACAAAATGGCGGATAATAGAAACAAAATGGTGGACAATGAAACGAAATGGGGGATGAAAGGGTTAAAAATTGGGAGAAATGGGGAAAATTTGGGGGAAAAGGGTGAAAAAACGGCGAAAAACGGTGAAGAAATGACAAAAATATGGCGGAAAACGGGAACAAAATGGCGGAAAACAAAATGGCGGCTCATGGAAAAAAGATGGCGGATAATAGAAACAAAATGGTGGAAAATGAAACGAAATGGGGGATGAGAGGGTTAAAAATTGGGAGAAATGGGGAAAATTTGGGAAAAACGGTGAAAAAATGGTGGAAAATGGGAACAAAATGGCAGAAAATAAAATGGCGGCTCATGGAAACAAAATGGCGGCTCATGGGAACAAAATGGTGGATAATAGAAACAAAATGGTGGAAAATGAAACGAAATGGGGGATGAAAGGGTTAAAAATTGGGAGAAATGGGGAAAATTTGGGGGAAAAGGGTGAAAAAACGGCGAAAAACGGTGAAGAAATGACAAAAATATGGCGGAAAACGGGAACAAAATGGCGGAAAACAAAATGGCGGCTCATGGAAACAAAATGGCGGAACTTGAGGGAAAATGGCGGGAAACGGAAAGAAAATGGCGGGAAACAGAAAGAAAATGGCGGGAAACAGAAACAAAATGGCGGTAAATGGAAAGAAAATGGCGGGAATTGGGGGAAAATGGCGGGAAACGGATACAAAATGGCGGGAAACAAAAACAAAATGGCGGGAAGCAGAAACAAAATGGCGGGAAACAGAAACAAAATGGCGGCTAATGGAAAGAAAATGGCGGGAATTGGGGGAAAATGGCGGGAAATTGAAAGAAAATGGCGGGAAACAGATAAAAAATGGCGGGAAAGATACAAAATGGCGGGAAACAGATAGAAAATGGCGGGAAATGGAAAGAAAATGGCGGGAAATGGAAAGAAAATGGCGGGAATTGGGGGGAAATGGCGGGAAATGGAAAGAAAATGGCGGGAAACATAAAAAATGGCGGGAAAGGGGGGGAATGGGGAAAATGGGGCATGAAAGGGTTAAAAATGGAGAGAAACGGTGGAAAAAACGGGGAAAAAATGGAGAAAAATGGAAAAATGATGGAAAATTGGGAAAAATGGGGAAAAAAGTGGGGGAAAATCAGGAAAAAAAAACCCCAAAAAATGGGGAATAAATGGGAAAAAATGAGGCATGAAAGGGTTAAAAATGGAGAAAAATTTGGAATGAATGAGGGAAAAATGGGAAAAAAGGAGGGAAAAAAGGAGGGAAAAACTGGGGGGAAATGGGAAAAATGAAGGAAAATTGGGAAAAAATCGGGATAAAATGGGGAAAAAAAGGGAAAAATCGGGATAAAATGGGGAAAACCGGGGGGAAAAAACGGGAAAAATGGGGATAAAATCTTAAATAAAACGGAAAAAAAAGCAGGAAAAAAATCGGGAATTTCAGATTCGGGATTTGGATCCGATCCCGGATAATCCAGGCCGGGATTTCCCGGGAAAATTCCAGGATTTTCCCTCTAAAAATTCCATTCCCGGCTTTTTTTTTTTTTTTTTTTTGGGATAAAATTCCCGAATAAAATCGATAAAAAATCGATAAAAAATTCGATAAAAAATTGGAAATTTTTTGCTTTTTTGGGGGGGAATTTCCTGGGAAAATCCGGGAATTTTGGGATCGGAAGGGGGGGAGGGGGAGGGGCCGCAGCTGGTG